AGCAGGGAGCCCGATGTGGGACTCGATCCCAGGACCCTGGGATCACGACCTGAGCCGAAGGCAGACGCTTAGACTGAGCTACCAAGGCGCCCAAGACTTTTTGAGTACTCTCTACCCCCACCGTGGGACTCGAACTCATGACCCTGAAATCAAGAATTGCATGCGTTTCTGACTGAGCCCAGCCAGGCGCCCCTCTCAGAACTTCTAAAATCTGTTGCTTGATGATTATTTTTACCAATATGCAAAATTTTTAGTCGTTAACTCCTGACATAACACTTCAGTTTCATTTTCTCTCACTTTTCCTTCTTAAATTCTTATTTCACATGTGTCACAGCTTTTCACTGGGTCCCCTGAGTCTTGTGTGCCTCTTTCTGTATTTTCTATTATTTTATGAACTGTGCTTCACTTTGAGTAATTCCTCTTGACCCGTTTTCTAGCTCCTTAATCTCTCTGCTCTCTGTGCTCTCTGTTGTTAAGCCCAACCACTGAATTTGTCATTTCGGTTACATATTTTCAATTCTGGAATTGCCATTTGACTATTTTTTTTTAGCAAACTCTAGTTCTCTGGTGAAATTCTTCATCTATTTTTGTGAACGTAATAACAGTAGGCTTTTATTAAGTGCTTCTGGCCACTATCTGGGCCACCTGGAGGCTCGCTTTTATCACCTGGTTTCCTCTCTCTTGGTTTTCGGCCTCGCAGCCCTGACACTCGGGACTGACGTGTCATTTCCAGGGGAGCAGGAATGGGTCCCCCACCTACCTCGGTGTGTTGGGTCTCCTTGGCATCAGTGAGCAGCTCGAAGGCCCTAGCTGCCCTTCACACGGACACCTTCGTGGGCACCGATGCTCTGCCTGTGGTTACCTGGAGGCTTCTCCTCTTCTTGGGGCTTTGTCGTAAACTGGGCTGAAGGAGCTCACTGCCCTCCACGCAAGAAAAGGTGTGGATCCACGACTTACCTTCTTCCTTGCAACCACTTGTTTCTTCTAAAGGTGAGCAAGGAGGAGAAGGAGGAAGAGAGGAAATCATTAAGGAAGCCTGAAAGGGATGGAGGCAGTGCCTCTGGGTGCCTCCGATGGGGAGCAGAGGGGATGCTGTGGCCTCTTCGCTGCCCCTCGGTCCCCAGGCACTCGCCTGCTTCGTGGCCTTGGCCCATTCTCTTCCCTGTGCCTGGAGCACCCTTGGCTCAGCTAGGCAGTCAACCTGGCTCCCTGGTGAAATGTCACTTTTTTTAAACCTGTCAACCTCTCCCATGCGGTCTCTGCCTCTCCCTCTCTCCACCGTGTCCATAGGACTCATCCACATCAAACAGATGCTCCATCTACTTCTTCACTTATTTTGTTTTCTTTCTCCTCTCACTCAAATGCAAGTTCACGCAGGCACCGATTTCTGTCTGATTGGTTCCCTACTCTTCCCCGGGGCCTAGCGCTGGGCTTGGCACAGAGGAGCTAAGATTCATCAGCATTTGTTGGATGAACGACAAAAATGTTAAAACACTTATGATGTGAGTGACAATGGAGAGAGTGTAAGTTTCGGTGACTTCTAACGGCCCTCCCAACGTTGAGAAAAGAAGCAAAGAACTCTGTTTCTGTGCACAAGAGTAAAGACCAAGAGAAGGCCAAACGGCACAGTTACTACTCACCATTCAACACCTGGAGGCTCAGCAAACCTAAGGAAAACAACACACAAACTGAATCGCAAAAGGCAGCACGAACTGTGCCGTCAGGTCCCCAGGCCCGACAAGCTCACCACAAGCTACCGCTCCTCCAAGAAGCCCTGCTGGATTCCAGGAACCTTTTCTAGTTGCCACCTCTCTCGGGACACTGATCCCTATTGCCTTATAACCATGGTCTCCCCCACCAGACGACGAGTTTCATCTTTGGGGTTTCCACAACCCTGCACGGTCCCGGCACATACTGCGTGTGGAATAATATCCTTGCCAGACAAGCTTCCCACCAAAACCCCACAGCAGGCACGGAGTGAGATTCTTACCTAGGATCCCTGATGTTGCCCATGCAGGGAAAAGGGTGGTCCGGGAGGCAAGGTCACGGGGGTAGGCGAGGTCCAGAGTGTCGAGTCCAAGGGGTCATGAGAGACGAGGCCATGAGGAGGAAACAAATCACCAGGTCAGAAGGTGGGAGACCAGGAACCCATGAGAGCAGAGCCCAGGGCGGGCGTGGTGATCAGTTAGCAGTTGGCAGTGAACAGGGGAGACCATCCAAAGCCTCATTGTCTGGGTCAGATGGGAAATCGAATGGCTGAAGGCACTTGCATCGGATCAGGGTTAGGCTGGGAAGGCAGCCACCATCCTTTGCCTTGCAGACTTGGGACGAATAACGCCTACTTTGTGACGACGTTGTGGGGGAGTACAGAGCATGATACCTTAAAGGTCCTGCCTCCCGTGCCCAACACTTGGCGAATTCTTAATGGGCTTCAGTTATTATAATCACCATCATCACCATATCATTGCCCAGATCCCTGATCTGAGGAGGGAGGTTGGTTCCCATAGGACACCCCACCTTTTTGAAAGTAGTCCCTGGGTTTTAAAGAAATTTCTCTAGAAATGATCCATGGCTAGGAATGGACCCATTAGCAGAGATAAGAAAGGGAACAAAGCAGGGGGGGAGGGCAACGTGAACTAAGAATCTTACTTTTCAATACTGTTGAGATGCGGGGCAAGGAGGTGAACATCCAGTAGAGGTCATTGGACACCGACAGAAACAGAAAGGAGGGGACCAGGAAGGTGTTAATGGCTCCTTCTTAGCTCACCCCACCCTGATGGTTCCCAAAGAGACCCTCCCATAGGAGGGAAAGGAGGGTATCCCCCAGATTTCATGGGATGCTCTGGGGCCAGGATGGGTTGCTTCTACTATACTTGTCCCCTTTGGAGAGGCATTTATCCAGGTGGCCAGAAGCCGCAGGTGCCCATTTTCCTTGGGGATTCATCCCCCAGAGATTAGAAAGATTGTCAGCAAAGGATCCCCTTGACCCATTTTTATCTAATTTCTCTCCTGAGGCTCAGGAAAGAGTGGGCTGCACCTCTTACACATAACTCAATACATCCTTGAATTCTGGGGCAGTGGTCCTTGGCTTTTGAGAATTTGATAAAATCCAGGGACCTTATATGCATATGGGCTCACATACCCAGTCATACCTGCAGCCTCGGACCCACCTGAGTCCCAGACACCTTCTCTCAATTTTCCCTGCAGCCTCAAGGGGCAGGTGGATCCCTACAGCTCATCCTGAGCCTCCTGCAGAGGTGGGGGCAGTGGGCAGTAGATTGAGACCTCCCTTAGCAGAGGGTCTCTCTCAACCTGGGCCCTAAATCGAAGAGAAGAATTCAAAGATCCCCTTCTCTTTCTTATTTCCTATACTTCATAGCACCCAAACACATCCCAGTGACCCCTAAAAAAGGAAAAATAACTTACTTTTCACTGGAGGGCACAGCAGAACCAGAAGTCAGGAAGTCAATATGGAAAAGAGCGGGCAAGAGAGTAAGATAACATTAACACCGCCCCAAGGACACTCCATTATTCCTTCATTAAATAACCTTAAAATCACTTTAAACTTTTTATTGCGTACTAATTATAAACTCACAAAATATTGCCAAAATAGTACAGAGAGATCCTGTGTGACCGCTGTTCAGCTTCTCCCAATGGCGGCGTCTTACATAACCATAGTACTTTGTCAAAACCAGTAAATTGATGTTGGCGCAATTCCAGTACCCAGACGATAGAATGTACTCCGATTTCACCAGTTTTCTCGTGCACTCTTTTTTAAAAAATGTTTTGTTTTCTTAAATACTTATCAATCTCAGAGTCATAGCGTAGCCATCTTAAAATAACGTGGACATCATTACCTTGCTTTATAAGTGAAAGAAGGGATGAGGGTGTTTAGGAGAGCCACACAATGACCCAACACAGGTGGGTACCCGTGAATCCCACCTCTCCATCTCAAGGGGAGAGTAGAAGTGGGATTGAGACTGAAGACTGAGGGAAAAGTACCACTTCTTTTTTGTCCACTTCACCCCCATAAATTATGATGGACCCCACCGAAACAATCTGCTTATTGAGTTGAAGTTGGTGGGTCCATATGTGTAGATTTAGTGTGTTGAAGGATCACCACCTGGGAAGCTTGTTTCAAACAAGGAGCCTGAAGCTCCACCCCAGATGTCCTGATTCTTTAGGTAGATCTGAGATGGGATCCTAATTTTAAACCAAGACCCTGAGAGGCATTGCTTTGGCTCAGAGGTCAGCAAACATCTTCTTCTTCCCTCTCTCTTTTTTTTTTTTTTTTAAACTAGGCTCCACGCCCACTGTGGAGCCCAACACGGGGCTTGAACTCATGACCCTGAGATCAAGAGTCGGACACTTACCCGACTGAGCCACCCAGGTGCCCCAACAAACATCTTCTATAAAGGGCCAGATAGTAGGTATTTTAGGCTTTGTAGGTCAGCAGTCATAGTCGTGACTCCTCAACTGCTCTGGCAGCAAGAACCCAGCCACAGAGGATGCATAAATGAATGTGTATGATTAGGTGTCAATAAAACTTTATTTAAAAAAAAACAGGAAGTGGGCCAGGCTGTAGTTTGCCAACTCCAGCTCTAACACAGTGGTTCTCAAACCGTCTGCATCAAATCACCTGAGAAACCTTTTTGAAAGAACAGATTCCTAGAGCCCACCCTGTGGTATTCTTATGCAAAAATTGTGGGTGGAACACAGAAAATCATGTTTTGTTTTGGTTGTTTTGTTTTTTTAACTTCCTGATGATCAGCCAATTTCGGGAACCATGTCTTCTAACTTGGGCTCCATCCGGCTCACGGTCCTGTTGTGAGAATTCACTAATACAACAGAGATAGATGCTCCACTGTTATTTCTCTTCAACTCCTTCCAGTTAACAAAGATACCAAAGATACCATGCATTAGCAGTTGTAGGGGACATTCGTTTCCTTCAAGGAACATTTGTGTAGCCCAGCTGTGTCCCAGACCTTATTCTAGGCCATGGAGTTAAAAGATGGGTAAATCTTGGCCTCGGAGGAGGAGGAGAGAAGCTCCCTTTCCCACCCCATGTCCCCCAAGAGGCAGTTGTTAACCATCTGCCAGCACACCACAGCTGAGATTCTCCAGTGGGGTCTGTTTTTACCGACCGTGCTCCTGCCCCCACGCCAATGTCTAAATGCCAGGGTCGGGACCAACCCTTTCCCAGATATTTTTAAGGAATTTCAAGGCCCAGAGAGGGTTACAAGAATGTGATCTCAAGGACACGATACTCACTTTCTTCTTCGGTCCTGTCTGGAGGGGAGAATGCAGGCAGCCGGGTCCCGATGGAGGTGCAGAGTAGAGAGAGAAATGGGCATTAAGACCGGAAGCCTAGATACTGGCAAGTAGGTGTCCCTGACCGGTCAGAGGAGAGCAGAGGCGAAGGACTACTGGAGATGAGGCAGATGAAGACTGTATCGTGCAGTCAGTCAGTCTCTCTCTCCCGCAAATCTGGACGGAGCATCTACCATGTGCAAGGCGTGAGGACACATGGACAGCAAAGCGGGCGAGGTCCTCAGGCACAGAGAGTCAAGTCAGAGAAGCAGTGACAAGAGTCATCTGTGGAGCACGATCTGGGTGAATGTGTTTGGGTAAACCTGCAGGGTGCAGTGGGAACCTGTAAGGGGGTGTGGTTGCTGACCTTGTCTGGGGGCCAGGGAAGGCCTCTCGGAGGCACTGTCGCCGTGTCTCAAACCTGAAACATGAGTAGGGTTAACCGTGGGAGGACGTCTGGAAGCGGGGAGAGGAACGCATCCCAGGCTGAGGGAACAGCGTGGGCACGGTCCTGGGTGGGAAGGAGCCTGGGGCTTTGGAAGGATTTCGATGGCACAGGAGTATCTGGAGCTAGATGATGCAGAGCCGTGTAGGTGAGCTGAAAGCTCTCAGACTTCATCCTAACAACAGGGACGCAGCATTGCAAGATTTGGACCCCTGTCCAGATCCCAGCTCCACACACAGTAGCTTTGACCTTCAGCAACGTACCCCACCTCTCCGCACCTCAGTGTCCTCGTCATAAAAATGGAATTCTAATAGGGTGACCAGCCATTCTGGCTTGCCCGGCACCGAAGGGGTTCCCGAGAGAGAGAGTTTTAATGCTAACACTGCGAATGTCCCGGGCCGACAGGCTCACTTTAGATTATGATGGCATCTACCTCTGTTAGGGGAATGAAAGAAACAATGCAGGCAGAGCCCTGAAAACACACTGGCTTTTTAAGGGGCTTAATGAAACTTCTATTAGTTGCCACTTTGCCCCTGATGCTCTGCTTCCTTCTGGACCTCAGTTTCCCCAACTGTATATTGGGTCACATGATCTCCAGCCCCATGAGCCTATGACTCAGGTTGCGGGTATTAGGTATTAGGTCATCACGCCCAATAATGGCTTTATTACCTTGATCTTTGGGTTTATAGCGGGCGCTTGGCATGTGAACTAAGAAGCACATTTTTTAAAAATGTGCAGCTGCCTTCCAAGGAGGGCTGACGTGTATGAGTGATGTGGATTGTCTGAGGGTTGGAGTTAGGGAGAGCTGAATGATTCACCCCACAGGCAGCGCGGGAGGAACGGAGCCCCTGAGATGGGAGAATTCTGTCTACTTAGGTCGTGACCTCTGCTGTCTCCCTAACCCTCCTCGGGACTCGTCCACTTGCAGACACGAGCGGATTTCTCGTGGGAACCAACAGAGGAGAGTTCTGCTCCCAGGCTGATGAGAACTGTTCTCTTCAAGCAGCAGAACCAGTAAAGAGGGCTCTGGACTCCAGAATCCACGGATTGTAGGGTGGGCGGAGTTGGGCCAGCTCTAGCCGGCTCCCTAGCACTGAGATTTTCATATATTTTGTCTTAACCTCATAAGCACTAGCCCTGCTTTGCAGGAAGAAGACACTTGTCCCTGGTCACTCGGCTGGTAAAGAGTGGAGCTGGGCTGGAGCTCCAGGTACATCTGCTTCTGGAAGGCCAGCTCACACCCACTCTGCCTGGGCGTCTGGGGCCATATGCATCCCCTTGGAAGTGGGATGTGAGCCGTCAGTGATGGCTGAGGAGATCTCAGGGGGGCCAGGGAAAGGGGGGTGGGGAGTCGTTCCCCTCCCAATTCCCCAGTGAGCAGAGAAAGTCTCAAAATGATGCTGGCTTGTCTCTTACCCCCTCTGCAACACTCTTTCTACCAAAGTGGGGAGAACAGGCTTCAGATGAAGAGTCTCAGGAGAGACCAGCATCGTGTTATAACTTACTAATATTTTATTTTCATTATATTTATTTTTACAGTGTCTGTTTATAATGAACAATACTGGCTTTCTACTTTCTCACATGGTGTCTTGTTTCCTTTTCAAGTTTATCTGTGTAGGTAAAAGAACTGAATTCTGGGGGCGCCTGGGTGGCTCAGTCGTTAAG